TTGTTTATGAACTCATAAAAATCAAGGGATAGGCTCTCCAAGATGATGCCAACTTGGGTGGCTTCATCGATCCTGGCACCATTGAGCTATGCCTCATGGAGGTGATCAATCATGTTCAAAACATGTGCCTTGACCGAAATGCCTTTCTTCATCTTGTCGTTCATGAAAGCCTTGACAACATCTAAACGAGCATTCTCTAAAGGAGCTCCAAACATGGCTTCTAGAGACTCCATTTTCTCATAAGCGGTATTCATCTCCTCATGCTTCTTGCGAAGCACATAACTCATGTTGGCCAACATATAGCACGTTGCTTTATTATTGGCCTTAATCCAGCAATCATAAGGCTCCCGGGCGGTTTTAGATGTGTTAGCCGCGGGTTCTTGAGGACATATTTCTACTAGGACAAATTTATAGTCATCGCAGACTAATAGTACGTTCATGTTACTTTTCCACTTAGCGTAGTTATCACCATCCAGTTTTTCAGTCGCAAGTAGTGTGATTATAGGATTCGACATATTGCTAGAAATAAAATATAATATTCATCTAATCAATTTATGTGCATGAATATCAACGCATGTGAATTTTGACACAATTAAATATGATGCATGATGCACATGAAAATACATAAATCATGTTTTAATTTTAGGTGCCAACGATAATCCAATTAATAAGTACATTCAAAATATCTCATGTTTTCATATTTATCAACTATCATTATTTTTGGCCAAAAATATAATCAACAATTTGATCATATTTTTATAAGTGTAATTTATCATTTCAGATTCTACAGACTTAACTCCGGAGTGCCGCCGTATGGTAAGTCACATCGAAAATACATCCTTGAATCCTATCGCTAGGAAGTCAACCTTATTATTGATCCAAAAGAACACTTTCCGTAGGGAGTGCGGAATCAGTGCCGCCGCGAAGCCCCTTTCGAATCTCATGGTATTGAACTAACGAGAGAGACCAGTAGGTCGTATTGTCATACAACCCTCTCCCACTCATTATATGACAAATATGTATTTTATTTGAAAATCATCTCATGTTTTTTAAATCCTGATAAATAAACAATTTATTTTTTAGATATGTGAAATTCTAAAATTTAACTCTTAAATTCAATTTCACATGTAACATTATTTTGCAAATTAATTTTGTAACTTAAATCAATTTAATCATATTAAATCGATTTTAGCGCATAGTTTTTATTTTATTTTATCCTTTTAAAACTCTTTTAAATAAATAAAATAAATAATAATAAATGCGCGTGTATGCATGATATGTTATAAAACATATGAGTAGGCACACTATATCTATGTGGCATATTATATGCATGGACATATAATATATAATTATCAACATAAATTATAAATATATGCAATCGACTATTGAGATGGATTTGACCGAGTCCTATGGAAAATATAAATTACTACCAAATCGAATAAATAAATAATTACAATAATTATTTTCTTCCGTTATATTAACGGGTCTTCGATTCTTGAATTCTTCATTCTTTGGTTTTGTTCTTCGACTTCGGGTCAGAATCCACCTCTTTCGGGGCTCGAAACTCTTTTAGGTCCTAGGGCATGCAAAATGAGGGTTTCAAAAACTCTCGGGCTCAATCGGAGTCCACTGGCAGCATTGGTGCTCGCTGGTGCGCGTTTGGGCACGCACTGGTGGAGGGTCGCACGCGCTGGGCGTCTGCTGGCGCGCGTGCAGGGCTCTCTAGGCGCGCGCGGGGCAGTTTTTCGGGCTAGGTGTCCGGGGTTGCATGGGGCGATTTTTTGGGATTCTTTTAACTCAAAATCAAAATCCTAATCTACCCAAACCTTATAATTACAATAATTCTAACCCCAAATAAAATTACAAATAATTTCATTTGAACAAATTTAATACGATCCATGGAACCATATAATTAACGACCAAATCCACCATTTATACATTCATCAACATGAATTAATTATAAACATCCATAAATGCAAGTGCCTACCCATCACATACATACATAATTAAATATCACATATTTAATATATTACTTTTGATTATCACATAATCAAAGCATAAATTAATATCGTCTATGGACCGCTCTGATACCAATTGTTGGTTTCCGAATCAAATTCGGATGCGGAAGCGTAAGGATAGCGGATCAAGTATAACAAAAATTTTTCTAAAACCTTTGAAATACTCTATAGATTATATTAATTTATGCATGACTAAATTAATCAAATTTATTTATTTATTAAGAACTCAATTAGGAATAATACCTGACGGTTGATTAGGATGATAACTTGAGTTCTTTGATCTCAAACAATCATTGCTCTAAAGCCTTGTGTTTAGAAAACTAATGGCTTTCACGTTAATTCCTAGAATCCACAAAGACGTGTGTATGGGCACACCTGAGACAAAATGACTTAGAATAAACACTCAAATTTTCACAAACACCAACGCATGTACGATGTTGAATTTTTTGAGAAAAGTTTTTCCTCTCACTATACTAGAGAATTCGGCCACCACTCAAAAATAAGTCAAAAATTGTGTTTCACAATTTTTTATCATTCTATTATTTATATAATGGAAGTCAACCTTCTAGAAAGAATCTAATCTCTATCTCTAAGATAAAGCTTGTTAATTATCTCCTATTTGAATTTAGAACAAAATCTCCTACTCCATTATCCTTAATGTGGCCGGCCATGTATGAGGATCCTCATCCCTGTGTGGCGCCAATTACAGATAGAGAAGGAAGAGAAAATCATCCTTTATCATGCAGTCTAATTTTGATTCAAATTTAAATTCTAATTTAAGTCAAACTTAAATTAATTAGAATTCTAAATTGAACAACTTATCAAATAAGTTTAAATGGATAAATCTAGATGTGTTCAAATTCAAATTTAAATAATCTCATTATTTAAATAATAATTAATTCTTAATTAATTATTTTTGAGTGTTTAATTTTAGAATTTCATAATTTTAAAATTTTCATTTTGCCATTTGTGTCTTGTAGAATTATTAGGATGATGCGAGGACTAATGGACCTATAATCTCGAGTTCCAATAAAATTAATAATTAATTAAACACTTTAATTAATTGATTAATTCTATTAATTCTAATAGTTACTCCATTATAAACTTGGAATTGCACACTCAAAATTATAGACATTAATTACTTCTAAACTGTGAAATGTCCATTTGATATAGTCACTGCATATAGACCAATCCTCCATAAATAAAGCATAATTAGAGTTAGGTAAAATCCGTTAACCTCCATAATTATATCTTCATCCTTAAGTATCATTATTTCTCTAATGGATAGTGATTCATAAAACACATTCATGAACTAGAGCGCTCTTACTAATCCAAGTACTGAATCAACACTCAAGAGAATTATTTATCTGCTTCTTTTCTCAAGAATGAATGGATTCTATCTTGTACAATAACATTCATAGCTACCTACTTTATCATATCTCCAAAATACAAGGAATAGAATTCAGGGTCTCAGAATCCGTATTGAGTAAATTAAAAGACACAAATCCATAAATAGGAGTTTGTTAAGAACTCAGGATTAAGATCATTCTATATATAACCATCGGTAGACGCAATTAGAATTTCTATACTTAACGAAAATTATTAGAAATTCATATTGTGTATGTGTCATTGTTCCACATAATCTCATTATGCGTAATACACTTATTTAATATCTCACCATATTAACAATGTGGATAACACCATCCCATTCTAAATGGGAATGACATGTATTAGTAATGTTCTAATTAAAGATTATGAACTTTAATTAAATTTATTACGAACATCGCTTTTTGATTATTATCCTTAAACATTATCTTCTTGCATACAACACTTATATACAATGTTTAAGGTCACATAAATAATCACGAAATTTTCATTTGATACTCATAAAATATTCACAAATATATGCACATAAAATGATAAATAAACTCTTTTATTAAATAAATAATAAATATCTTATTACATCTTATGCTTCTAAGGCACCATTCTCAACATAAAAATCACCAAATGTTTGCCTACATGGACCACAACCACGGTGAAACTCAATCTCCTCGCGAAACCGTAGCAATCACCACTTGGATAGTCCTTGAGAGACACAGAGCACCATCTCTAGGGCCAGAGAACCGAAAGCAAGTCGTTTAGCGGCTGTGACTCCGACCAAAAAAAAAAAAGCATACTATGAAAAACTTCAAACCCTAACACACATGAGAGAGCGAATAGACAATGCAGACCTAGCAAATTCTTATACAGTATTTATAACTGAAGCTCGTAATTGAAGAAATGATTGCATTGTCAAAAAAAATCTTTTGTACAACATGCAAATTAAAGATAAGTTTAGATTTTAGAATGATGACTGCAATTAGAGAAAATCATAAAAAGATTTTAGGCCTCATTCGTTTCGCTAATTCGAGTTTAGAATTCGAGTTGAGATGTGATTGTATGTGAGAGCTTTTTACTGTAGCAAAAAAGTTAGATGTGATTGTTTATGAGAGCTTTTTACTGTAGCAAAACTCGAATTTTAAACTCGAATCAGCGAAACGAACGAGGCTTTAGGGCCCGTTCACTTCGCTGATTCGAGTTGAGATGTGATTTTGTGTGAGAGCTTTTTACTGTAGCAAAAAAGTTAGATGTGACTATTTCTGAGAGCTTTTTACTATAGCAAAACTCGAATTCTAAACTCGAATCGGCGAAATGAACGGGGCCTTAGTCTTGTTTAATTTATCAATTCGAGTTGAGATTTAATTTTATATTAAAATTTTTAACTGTAATAAAGATAGTTGAATGAGATTTTTAAAAATAATTTTGCTGACGTCACTGAATCATTGCACGTGCGGGGTATAAATAACGAGTGGCGTACTTGGCAAGCGGGGTTTTTTCTTTTGTTTTTTTTTTGTTTTTTTTTTTTTTGGTAATGCGTACTTGGCAAGTTGTAAGTCATAAACCACTGCCACGAAAACTGGGACACATCCGCCATCTCAAACATTTTCTCATTTTTCGTTTTCCCTCTCAAATACAGTTCTCCACCTTTCCCTTCTCCACTGGCCCATTTTTCCATTTCCCAATATTCCCTATTCTTCTTCCTTTCTAGGGTTTCCATTTTCCAATCTTCTCTCTCTCTCTCTCTCTCTAAAAATGGCGGCGGCGGCGTTGCTTACGGAAGGTGCGATGGCGAAGATGTGCAGCGACGAGTTCGCGAAGGAAGAGGGGTGGAAGCCGGTGGTGCAGGTGACAGACGTGAAGAAGATCCAAGCCGACAAGGAGAGGTACAGAGTTATCATCTCCGACGGCCGACACCAACTGCAAGGCATGATCAACCTTAGTCTCAACAATCTCATCAGGGAGGGCAAGCTCCAGTCCGGCTCCATCATCCGATTGACTGATTTCGTCTGCTCTCCTGTCCAAACCCGGCAGTACGCTTCTCCTTTTCTCTTCTTCTCTTTCTTTGCATCCGATTCATTGTATTGCGTTTTTTTTTTTTCAATTGTTATACTCGTTTTAGGTTTTTCAATTTTGGGAGTTTTAGGGTTTTTTCTTTTTTTGTTAAATTAAGAAGAATGTCCGTCTCTTCTTTAAGAATCAATAATTTACTTGATTGAACGTTGAATTCGTGATGTCGGAAAATCAATCAATAGTAATAAAAAATGAATCAATAATTTACTTGATTGAACGTTGAATTCGTGATGTCGGAAAATCAATCAATAGTTATAAAAAATCAATCAATAATTTACTTGATTGAACGTTGAATTCGTGATGTCGGAAAATCAATCAATAGTTATCAAAAATCAATCAACGATTTAGAAAAGTCCTTTTTTTTTTTTGGAAAAATGGACATTTATTTTTTTATTTAGCTGAATTAAGGTCATTAAAAAAGGCAGTCTCTCTCTCTCTCTCTCTGGTTTTGTGGGAAAAAAAAACTCATAGTAAGATAAATCTCAGGAAGTGGATAAAGGGGATTTGCAATAACACAGAAATTAAACTCATAGGGTATTTGTTGCTGGTTAAAGGAAGTGATTATAACATTTTTGAGATGAGTTACCATGCTCTTTAAAATTTCATCTTTTTGATGGTGGCAGCTCGTGTCCACTTCCTTAATTCCGCTTATTTTTGTTTGGTATGTATTGCATTACAATAACATAATTCCACTTATTTTTGTTCTGTATGTATTGCATTTCAGTTATTGTAATTTGTAATTATTGAGCTACTATGACATGTTAATTTTGTTTTCTTTTTCGCAAGATATGCTGATTACATTTACTGTTAACAGGGTGGTTGTTATAGTTAACCTAGAGTTGATACGTGAAACATGTGAGATAATTGGTCAGCCTGTAACTGCACCAAAGGCAGGGACTTCACCGTTCTCTGGATCTGTAAATGGAAATTCCCAACCTGTGGGTGGCAGTACACCTTCTGCGGATGCAGCTAATGAAGCTGCAGTTGGGATGTCTGGAATACACCCTGGAGTGAATAGACCACATGGTAGTACTTATTCCAGTAATTTAAGCTATGGATCAGCAAATACAACTTCCACGTTTCCCAAGTCAGTTAGCGGGTCATACAACTACACAGGAACTGCAAATCCAGCTCCAGTTAGTGGGTCATATGGAAATCAGAACTTAGGTTTCCGCAACTCTAGACCCGAGGTTTCAAGGCCACCTCCAAATTCTTATGGCCGCACACCTCAGCCAGCATATCAACAGCCACCTCCAATGTATGGTAACAGAGGACCAGTAGTGAAAACTGAAGCTTCTGCAAGGATAATACCAATTGCTGCACTCAATCCCTACCAGGGCAGATGGACAATCAAAGCTAGAGTGACAGCAAAGGGGGATCTTAGGCACTACAACAATCCTCGGGGTGAAGGGAAGGTATTCTCTTTTGATCTGCTTGATTCTGAGGGTGGAGAAATACGGGCAACATGCTTTAATGCTGTGGCTGATCAGTTTTACAGCCAGATTGAAGTTGATAAAATTTATATGATATCAAGGGGTAGTTTGAAACCAGCTCGAAAGAATTTTAACCATCTTCGTAATGATCAGGAGATTTTTCTGGAGAGCACATCAGTAATACAGCCATGTTTTGAGGATGATAACTCGATTCCACATCAGCAATTTCATTTCTGTCCCATAACTGATGTTGAGGGCATGGAGAACAACGGTGTTATTGATTTAATTGGCATTGTCTCATATATTAGTCCAGCGGGTTCCATAATGAGAAAAAATGGTACAGAGACACAGAAGAGGACGCTCCAGCTGAGAGACATGTCTGGCTGCAGTGTTGAATTTTCTCTCTGGGGAAGTTTTTGCAATGAAGAAGGGCAAACGCTGCAAAATATGTGTGATTCAGGAGTATTCCCTGTTCTGGCTGTGAAATCTGGTAGAATCAATGATTTCAATGGTAAATCAGTAGGTACAATTTCTTCAAGTCAGCTACTCATAGAGCCAGATTTTCCTGAGGCTCGCAAGCTGAAAGAATGGTTTGCCACAATAGGGAGGAATACACCATCTGTTTCTATTTCCAAGGAAACAGGAAGTGTAGGCAAAGCAGATATCCGAAAGACCATATCCCAAATCAAAGATGAGAAGCTGGGGACTTCTGACAAACCAGATTGGATAACAGTTTGTGCAACAATTACATTCATTAAGGTCGATAATTTCTGCTACACAGCATGCCCAGAAAAGATTGGAGATCGACAATGCAACAAAAAGGTCACAAATAATGGAGATGGGAAATGGCGGTGTGATAGATGTGATAAGTCAGTTGAAGAATGTGAATACCGCTATATACTCCAGTTACAGATACAAGACCATACTGGCTTGACGTGGGTAACTGCATTTCAGGAGGGTGGTGAGGAAATAATGGGCGTCTCTGCTAAAAGCTTGTATTACTTGAAATATGAAGAACATGATGATGAGAAATTTGCTGAAATAATTCGAAAGGTTCTATTTACCAAATTCATATTCAAGTTGAAAGTAAAGGAGGAAACATATAGTGATGAACAACGAGTGAAGTCGACCGTGGTCAAAGCAGACAAGGTGAGTTACTCATCTGAGTCCAGATTTCTTCTGGATTTGATGGAAAAATTGAGAAGAGAAGATTCTGGCTCTGCTTCAAAGGTTGAAAGTACCATTTCCAACCATGGAATTGATACTCCTGGAGTCACCAACATTGCAAATAGACAACAACCTACACCAGTTGATTTCGGTAACACTGCCAATGCTGGCAGAGACTTTGGCGCCCCAGCAAATCGAGTGGGGCAGTACGGAAATCAGTATAGTGGCTCTAGGTTTTCTGCAACTGCCTCTTCTGGCATGCATATGAGCTGCAATAGTTGTGGGGCTACTGGCCATAGCTCTATGAACTGCCCGAGTATAGTGAATAGTCCAGGACAGTCCCACGGAGGAATCTATGACAATAGGGCATTTTCTGGTCCAAATGCTGGTAATGCCTCCGGAGAATGTTTTAAATGCCATCAACCTGGGCATTGGGCAAGAGACTGCCCGAGTACAGTGAATAGTCCAGGACAGTCCCATGGAGGAATCTATGACAATAGGGCATTTTCTGGTCCGAATGCTGGTAATGCCTCCGGAGAGTGTTTTAAATGCCATCAACCTGGGCATTGGGCAAGAGACTGTCCAGGGTCGAGTGATATTCCTCCATCTTACGGAAGCAGTGGTGTTGTCCCCGGGAGATATGGAGGTGCAAGACAACAAGTCGGTGGCTATTGAGGTCAGTTGAAAAGAACATTGTATAAACGGATACATAATTCCCCTACATCAGTGTTAGATATTTAGTTGCTCTTTTGAAGTCAAGGTTGCTGAGTTTCCCTTCTTGGGAAATACGACCTGTTTTCCTCTTGCAATGTAGGTTGGAAACTTTTGATGCAGGTTTTGCCTACGGATTTAGGCTTTTGGGAGTACAGTAGAGTATTGCGACTGGTTTTCTTAACCGTGTAATACGTGGTTTCCGGGTTTTTTTGTATCTAAGTTTGTGGTTAAGTTAAATGCAATCGTTCATGTTCATTTGTTTCTGTTGGAAAAGCCTCGTGCTTTTGAATGGTATTTCCCTAGCCAGGGAATTCGTTTGTTTTTATCGTTTCTACATATGTACACTGAACGGTTCACCGACCTCCATTTCTTATGATTAGGACAGTAACAAAACTCCTGTTTTTGCAATTTATTATTTCTTCATTCATTAAATTTTGAATTGGGAGTGTTAATAGGTTTATATATGTTGCACATGTATATGTAGACAAAGTTGGCTGGACAATCCGACTCTGACTGCAAAGTTGCATATTACCTATGGTGACAAATTGACCAGATGGGGTTCTTAATATGAAATTGGAGGCATTTGTTTGTTAGTTTGATTAGGTTTCGGGAAAAAAAAAACAAAAAACAAAAGGGTAATCAGTCCACTTATTTTTTTGAGATCACTTGGTCTTTAATCTCAATTTCGAACTCTTTGTTTAGTTGCAAATCTGGTCAAATTGATAATGGCCTTCTAATTTCGAACGCAAAGAGTAGGTCATGAGAAAATGATGTACCTTTCATCGAAGAGTAGCACCGCTTACTTCTAGTTTAACAGCAAATGTAGCAGACACGGCTTTCCATTTAGTCAAACAATGAAGAGAAACTTTTATAACAAACTATGCTGAATTTTTCCAAGAAAACAATCACTCCATTTGTCGATACCTATACGAAACCGAGAAACAACCACGATATGAAATGCAAGTACAAACATACAGAACTCCGCATTCGTTGTTCATGTGAGTTTCAAGCAGATGCATTCTTCTATTCCCATGGAAAGGAAACACAAATCAAAGAATGCCAACTTATTTCCCGAAACACAAATGCATTTCAGGCTAAATACATCGTATAGTATAATAAGCGCAATAAGCGCGTAGTTCATTAAGTATTAGCAAATGGCAAATCTTTGAGGTTCAGAACCCCATTTACTATGAATACTTTCCCACTGCATTTTATTTATTATCTCCTTATGGCTAAGGAATGACTTCAAAAACACACATTTGCTGATGAAGTTGGCCCAGAGCCCTTGAGAGGAAGTGGGTTGAGCATCATCCCTTCTGCACCACAATGAGTACCTGTAACACCATCAACCTGGGTTGCACTATAGCCTGCGATGGCACCAACACTCGCTATCTGCGATGTTCCTCGTCCTCTCTCAGCCACCGTCACACCATTGACCTGGCCTGGGATGGCACCAGCAGTTGCAATCTGCATAGTTGACCCTCCCCTCTCAGCCACTTGCTTCAGCCGGAACCGCTCAGCTCTTGAACCAATGACCTGGCCTAGGACGGACGCTGCAATTGTCAACGCCATAGCTGTTTTAGGCATTAAGACGGACTTCCGAAGCATGGCTATGAAGGGAACGGCCGCGTGCACCGCCGTAAACCATGAGAGAGAGAACTTCGTGGTGTGCTCCCTCCACACACCTAAGGGCACGTTAACTGCCATACCCAAGGCTGCAATGACGAGCATTTTTGCAGGTAGTGGCTGAGGGCGTAAGGACTTGACGAAGGCAGTCCGAGCAAGAGCTGCCCTTGCAGCAACAACCGCAGGGGGGCATTTAAGCTTCATACCAGGTGGTGGCTGAATTGCTTTTGCAACAAGTGGGAGAACATGGCTCACAGCTCGGTAAGACTTCGCAATTGGGCAGTTTCCTGATTTTAACCATTCATTTCCAAGCGCCTCATGCTTTGATGAATTTCCTTCCTATAATGATTGAAACGAAAAACCAGTGTAAGAGAAGATTTCTACAACATCAATAATTTACTTCTAGACCTAAGGATATGAGAAGTGTTCTATAACATCATCAATAACTTCTAAACCTAAGGGAGGCAATTCTAGGAGTACGCTAACTACTGGCTCAGTAAGTTATGCAAATAGAGACCATTTACTCAATTATCTGATAACAAATCCAAAGACTGTTTGCAGATGCCACTTATCACATATGATTTGCTTTGCCTCTCCAAACTCACTCCCATTACCCAAAAATGAGAGGTTCACAGAATATATATATATATATATATATGTTGTGTGTATGGTCATACTTACTGGTGAAGAAGAGGAATTCTTCTTGCTAGATGATTCAGACTTCTTCTGTTTCTTCCATTTGTCAGACAATGGACCAAAACTGAAAGGCCCTCCAGGTCCAAACGACGACAAACTAATGGTAGCAGCTTTTGCTGCTAAAGGGTTGAAATATGGTGCGGGCTCAAAATAGGGGTTGTCGCTAGGAACATAAGACGTCCCAGACAGCGGGACAATCCCATCCTTCCCATGAAAAACTTTAAATGCCATATCAAAACTAGGACCATCCTCAAATATTGGACCTTTGGCTCCCTGCATCAGAAAAGAGAGAAATGTAATAAAAATATAATAAAGTTATTTAGTTTGGAAAAAAAAAAATGGTGAAAATGAGCATGTATGACATAGAACTTAGAAGAGATAACTAACAGGTATGACAGGAAGCGGGAGGTGAACTGAGGAAAAGGAAAAGCAGGTGGGTTTGTTGATGTTCCTCAAAAATGGACATCTCTGAATGTCCTTCACATCAAAGGGGCACTCAGATGCGTCTTCTTTTATTCCTTTGAAAAGCTGGTCCATTGTTTCGTCTACTCAAGGAAACTTACCTAAAGAAAACCAAAAATGGGAAACTGAATTACAAACTTCAAGAAGAAAACAAAAACACAAAAAACAAAAAACAAACTATGATTGAAAATATGTTCTGGATGCTAAACATATTAGTATATTATGACTATTCAGGCACACACACACAACCATCCTTGGCATAAAGTTTCAGTGGAATAACTACAACAAATCAATTGCATATTTTGGTGCATATCTTTGGCATTGGAAACATTTTCTTTGTCATTAGGACTACGTTTGACCAACATTAAAGACCAAAAATCTGCGATAAGAAATTCAAAATTGAATTCATCAAAAACACCCGGAAATATGAAAATGCCAACGAAAAATTTCAGACAAATCAGACTCCTATGCAAATTATAGAAAAAAAAATCAACAACAATTCCTCGCAAATATCACGACGGATTGTTGTAAATTGTCCGAAACATTTCAATTATAAACCTATAAAATTCACTTCTTTTACAGTTATCTGAGGTCGAAATCATGCCAATCCAAAGAGAAATTAAATAAAATACAATAAAGCTAGAAGAAAATGAAAGAAGGAAATTGTTGGAGGTGTTTGGAAGGAGAGAAAGTACCCGAGAATCGACCAGAAGATCCCCAACTTGGTAGGGGGAGAGAGAGAGAGAGAGAGAACAGGAAAAGACGTGTGGATGACACGGACACGTACACAACCACCGTATGGAGCCGGCCCAGAAGTCTTGCAATATGCGGAGCAGGTATATATCACGTGGCTTGCCTTTTATTTATTTATTTATTGGGTAAGAATTTGTCTTTTCCCTTGAGAATAACTCCAAACGAGTGTTTCAAATGGTAGAATTTTTTCATCGTTTTTATTAAAAAAAAATGAAAAATGAGTTTTTTAATATATGTACATATATTATTGGCTAGAGTTTTATCACTTTTTAACACTCATATAATTTTAACTAAATTTAACGTTAAAAAAGCTCTTAAAAGGAGGAGTAGGTAACTCATAGCTTCGATGATCAAAGAGAAGGTTCGGGAGATAGCAGGTTTTAGAGAGGATAGAAGAGAGAGAGAAAGAGGGGAATTGTGAAAGTAGAGTGAGAATAAGTGTGAGAGAAAGGAATTGTGAAAGAGGAGTAGAGGGAGAATGAGTGTGATGGGAGAAAAGAATCAATTAGGGGGAAAAAATATATACCTAAACTCATAATCAACCAAGGATAAAAAAGGAAAATTATAAATCTTAAATAAAAAATTCTAATTTAATTTATTAAATACTAAGATAAATTACACAGTTTCTTTCCGAACTATAAGTTTTGTTACAAAATGTCTTCAAACTTTAATTTTAATTTTTTTTTCTTCCTAAATTCAATAACTCTTGCAAAATTTCCTCATTTATTAAATTTCTTACATTATTGTTGTTGGCCTTTATTTATGAACCCCAAATGTCATTAGGTCAAGCAAATTAAGGAAAAAGTTAAGTATCATAAAAAAATTATAACCCATGCTGCGTAATTACACTTTCATGTGATTGCATGTGGAGGAGGTAACAGAGTAATTATTTACTAAATTATTTAAACGACACTTATTATTTGTGCAATACATATTATTTATGTTAAAAATCTTAATATAAGGAATTCTTTTTTTTTAATTTTTACATTTTATATGATATTTTCCATTAAGACTTTACTAAAGGAAAAAATTTGCAAGAACTATTGAAGTTCAAGGAAAAAAACTACAACTAAAGTTCGGAGACCATTTTGTGACAATGCCTATAGTTCACGGGGCAATAGTGTAATTTGTATTTACTATTTACTTCCAAAAGTTGAAAAAAATATGTTATACAATAAATTTACATAAGGATAATAGGTTATTTAGGGATTTGAACTCTTTAACTTATGGTGGAAATTGTGAAATTACCGCTAGGTTATGCCTACAACTATTGAGTAATAAGTTATTTAATTAATTTAAATAGTTTGTATTTGTCTTATAATTATAAAATAAAATACAAACTATTTAAATTACATAATCTGGCATCCTTGCAAGTTATTGAGTATTTCTTCACCAGTTTGGCCAAGTCCATAGTTCACGCAAAGGCCCAACAAGTTTGCAACCAAGCCCACTAAGTCTTATAACGATTAGGGAAATGAGACAAATATCTCTTAAAATATTTGGGTTTAGATTTTTATCTCTTACTGTTAATTAATATTCTTTTTAGTCAAATAACTATATTACTCAAAAGAATATTAATTAAGAGTAATAGGTAAAACTCTAGACTCACACACTCTAAAGACAAGTTTAGTAATTTTCTCTGATGACTATAATACCATATGTCATGTGGACTCCGAGACTACTGAAAGGCAAGACAAATGACAGATCAGAAGAAATCAAAAATGAGAAAATGAGTCTTGCTAAGAAAGTTATATTTGTAATTCAAATCCATATATTAAGAGATATTTTAGGGATGATTCTCACATACTTAAAAGGGATAAATCCATAAAATAAAATATAAAAAAAATACTCCATCCCCCACATAAATAGACATAACTCTCAATTTGAAGGATGAACCATTCTAAATATTCTTGTGTTCATTTAATATTATGTATTTAATTCTATTTTGTTCTACATTAATTTTGTTCATTAATTTCTTGATGAAGTAAGTTATAAGATTTTTTTGAAAATTCTTGTTGACGAATTTTTATCGTCAACAGAGTTTTATTTCTGATTTTATATGCAAAGTTGTCTCCACAACCTAAAAGATCATTCTGCATAAAAGTTTCAAGGGTTTTTGAAATTAAAAAGAAGATGAATTTTACGCTTATAAGAAACTACATAAACTAGATTCTTTACCTCGTCTTGTGAAAAAAAGTATTTAAAAAGCATGACAGATATGCTCAACACCATTTGAGGAAATTTTGTAGAAGCGCAAGCTTAAGACATATGGCCAAATTCGTCAAATCATACCGTCTATCTGTGATCACAAGTTTAAGTACTAGTTTGGATAATTGGATTCACACTTGCTTATTTTTTTGCCTTTTATATGTAGCCCAACCATTTCATGTTTTTAGTTGCAATGATAACTTAATTAACTTTTTTCTGCTTTAATTATCAGCTAAATGATTTAGTTATTTTAGAGAATGCATTTTCTAACCAAATATAATTAATAAAAAAAGACTAGTTATTTCATTTTTTTTATTATTTTATTCTTTCAAACAATAATAAATGCATGAGTACTTTTTTAAAATTCAATAAAGTTATTTATATTTTAAATTTAATAAATATTAAATTACATATTTAGTTAAAATATAGAGTATAATTAGAGTGACTTACTCAAATGTATCTAAAATTTTGAGAGTTCTTAGGGTGGAATTTCTAACACATCCTCAGTCCTCAATATTGATTATATAATTCGTTGCAATATCCTTTCCATGACTTACTATATGTATTTACAAGATCAAAAAACAAGAAGTTCTTAAAACACAATTAATATATAGTACCGAAAAATAAAGGTCTCGTTTCTTTCACCGATTCGAATTTTTAGTTTTAAATTTGTACAATTAAAAGTTCTCATAAAATGTCACATCTAACTTTTTCTACTACAATTAAAATCTCTCAAAAAATATCTCATATCAACTCAAATTAAAAACTCGAATTTGCAATTCATCATGGAATGTCTTCCAAGAAAAGAGTGCCTTCTAGGGAGGAACACGAATTTTTAGGGACGGATCCAGGAATTTTTTTTTAATGTAGCACAAATAAATATAAATTTTGAATTAAAACGATCACTTCATAAGAATAATAATAATTACATTCTTTTAGAGACTTACTAGTATGTTACCCGCGCGTTGCAGCGGGTAATAACTATGAGTTTATATAAGAAGTTGGTAGTTTTTATTGTATAAAATTAATTTATGTACAGATATTTATGTGAGCTTGTCAATATAGCATTGTCATAAGTACTTTTTACAATGCATTTGTGCCTTTTCTTTTGCTTTTTTTGCTTCGGGTTTTAGCTGCAAAATGAAAATTTTGGAGGAATTAGTATTGTTATTGAGAATGCTAAAAATGTTATGTATATGTTATATAAATTAACTTATTTAGAGGTAGTTGTATTACCTAGTTTTTTGAAGTTTTGTGGAAGGTTTGGCTTGTTTTGATTGAGACTTGAGATCATAAAAGTTTGTGTAGTTATATATTTAAAATTATAGATGTCGTTTTTTGTTAATGGATAATGTAAAATAGTGAATACATCTTACCTTGTGGTTGCTTTTTTTGGATCTGGTGCGAATTGATCTATTGGTTTTGTGCATTTAATCTGTACCTGCAAAATGTATGATAATAATTTATTGTTATAATAAGCTATTTATTGTAAGCAATTAAAGTGAGTAAATTTTAGCAAAAGTATATTTATGATGTTAATTACCATGGAGATGACGTTGTTTTTATATGTCCATGACTATCACACCACCAACCAATGTTTGATTGCTTTAGTTGTCGTAATATATGGGGTAAGAGTTATAGTACCAACCTTGATCTGTTGAGAATTCAGTTATTGTTGCTCGTATTGTAAATTTTGCACCCTGTATGAATGATGAAAAGTTATCAGTTTCAATAGTATAAGTAAAGGAAAAAAACATGAAAACATAATCTAGTGTGAACTTGATTACTTTGTTGATCCAGCATTTTTAGCTCATGATTGTTTTTCTGTTTTCCATTTTTTGTTCTTCGATTGATTGTGTTGACTGCATTGATGTTGTTGAGAACTCAATTTGTTGACTTTGGCGAGAAAATCTGTACATTGAACGAGAACAATAAGCAGGAAAGAAAACAATAGAAGATGAATCTTCATATTCGAGTTGAAAGAAAATGACAAAAAAAGCTTAAGCCCACAATAATAAAAGTAGTAAAATATAAAGGACAGAAATCTTCAATGAAATTATCAACTAGGAAAAGACTGCAAAGCTTTGTCTAAAATAAGGGACAAAGAAAGAAAGCAAAAAAAATAACACAGTAGAGGGAAAAAGGAAAAAAATACAATAATTCAAAGTGAAGGTTTAAAAGATGGAGGAAAAGTGTCATAATAAAGAATATGAAATGAAAAGCACAGGTAAACAGAATGCACCAAAATGAAGGAATTAAGTAAGCAATGAATTTTGAAATTTCATTCAAATGAAAATGGCCAAAAAAGATTAAACTCATAGCAATGGAAGCAATGAAATATAAAGGCGAGAAATCTAAGGGAAAAGTGTAGAGCAGAAAAAACATGCAAAAATTTATTGTAAAATAAGGGATAGAATGAGGGAAAAAATGAGTTGGATAATTGAAAATGAGGCTTTGAAACAGCAAAAAAAGCTGCAATCATGAGAGATATCAAGTAATCAATCAATTTTGAGATTTTATTTTGATCAAAACGAACAAAGAAGTCCAAACTGACAATAATGGAAGCAATGAAAGATAGAGGAGAAAAATTTCCAGCAAAATGATAGAGCAGGAAAAAGGTCCTAAATTTTTTTGTAAAATAAGAGAGAAAAAGAGAGGAAAAAGCATGAGGATAATTCAAAGTAAAGCTTTAAAACAGACAGAAAAAAGTGCAAGAATCAGAAATATTAAGTGAAAATGGCAATGAAAGAAAAATTCAGTAACATAAACAAAAATATAGTTTTAGTAAAGAAGAGATAAAAGATGATAGAATAAAGATTTTAGTAAAGAAGCATAAGGAAAATCAAAATTCAAATAAGAAGGATAC